GACCGATCAACGACAAGGACACGTGGAGCGTGGTTCCTATGTTGCTACGACCAAAGAGTCGCGGTGTAATCAAATTGCGCAGTAAAAATCCATTCGATTATCCTCTCATTTATCCAAATTACTTCAAAGAAGCGGAGGACATCGCTACATTGATTGAAGGAGTGAAAATCAGTGTGGCTCTGAGCAGGACTGATGCCTTAAAGCGATTCGGAAGCGTGCTCAACTCGCAACAGTTTCCAGGATGCAAACACATACCCATGTATACTGATTCTTATTGGGAATGCATGATCAGATACTATAGCTACACGGTATATCATCCAGTTGGTACGTGCAAAATGGGACCTTACTGGGATCCCGAGGCTGTCGTCGATCCGCAACTCAGAGTCTATGGCGTAACTGGGTTGCGCGTGATCGATGCATCGATCATGCCCAACCTTGTGAGCGGAAACACAAATGGGCCAACAATCATGATAGGCAAGTAGAGATAAATACAGTATTATATTATTGGATATACAGGATGTTAGTTAAGTATGTTGCCATACTCAACAGAGCGATTCTTTGGTTTATTTCACGTAAAATTCATTGTTGTGTGCAACTGGTATAATCTTAAATTACCAGGTTTAAGATTGTTGACCCTGTGTTAAGCCCAGTGTCCACGATGCTAGAAATCCGTCAGAGATCTCGGACGAAGAAAGAATTGACCAATCGCATTGATCATGTGACTAAATTGTTTAAATGTGATTGATTAATTCTTTCTCTCTCCGAGATCTCGGACCAATTTCTAGCATCGTGGACACAAGGCTTAATACAATTTTACACCAGTTGCACACACTAATGAAAACTAAGGCCGTAAATGTTCGGAATACATGTAAGCATTTAAGGAAATATACGAACCTATATAAAAGATTGCGCAATAATTATTGCGGAACTACTCTCACTTGCCCGATAATTTTAAAACTTTCACACTTTAGCATTAATAATCTTTAAGTTGAGTAAAATAGTTTATCTAACTCATATTTTCTATAAGATCTTTTAATACTGCATATTGATACACTATACATATATATGTATATATACATATAACATACATTAAATATAAAACAAGTATGTACATAATAACTAAGGAAATATAAAAAAAAATTTCATTAGATTTTTTTATAATACAAAAGGCGTGGCAAGTGCATATATTTTTCGTCATACCTTACATTTTACAGGTTTACATATAGCGACTGGACTACAATATTATGATATGTATAATTGAAAATGTTTATACTGAATATGAAATAAATATATTCGAGCGTTAGAAAGAGAGAAAGCGAAGATTCTGAATGCAAAAAATGCAAACACCGACAGACTTAATATAAAGAAAGTTATTTTATCTTATGCCAAAAAACATAAATATATAGTCTATTTATAAAACTATCAAAAAAACAACAAATTTTATCAAAATTACCAATAAATTACTAATCTTACCGTAATTTCACCGTAAATAATTGTTAGATTGAATCTGACTGATAATTTTACATCTCTACACAGGTGAGAAAGGAGCAGACATGATTAAGGAATATTGGTTGAAGTGGAAGAACATACGAGGAAAAAGTAACTAGCAAATGATAAGAGGAACCCGCGCGCTTATCTTCGTGACAAGTGACAACAATGTGTGATAATACTAGTGATGTTGACACTAGTGCTGTTGACATGAAAAGACTTTTAGAAAAAACTGGAAACTCTGAACTTTACTATCTTACTACATTTTGTATATGCCATATTGGTACAAGAGTATTTGAATCTGAACCTGCACGTAAATTGTCGTGTATGTATATGCTTTTAGAGAACGCTTGCAAATGACGGCATATTTAAAGTTTGATACCATGTATGTGTAAACATCATTTTATATATAGTCTGTTTTCTGTTCCGTACTAGACTTCACTAGAACTCTCTTTCTCGCTTTCGACAAATATATACCTATCAAACATGTACCTATCTCACTTTCAGTTCTAAAAGTGTAAGTACATTGATTCAGCCACAGAAAACAGAGTTATGATAACAGAGTTATATTATATAACGATTTTACTATTATCAAAATTGAATTTTAATCTTACAATTAGTAAATGACCGATGCTTGATATGAAAAATAAATATTTAAACTTCATTCGAATAATTATCGATTATTTCTTGCATTAATTATTCCGTGCGTCGATAAAATTTTCCACTTTCAAAAACAATCTTTTTTACGTTTTTTTCACGTTTTAAATAAGTGAGACAAGCAACTCTTATAGTTTTTGTCGGATTTCACACACACACAAATCAGCCGTTCACAATAATACGTAATTAAGATTTAAATTCGTTGAGACTGAGCAGTACGAGTTTAATGTGAATGATAAAAATTATTATGAGTGCAATTATAGCGTTTATTGCCGTGATTAACTATAGTTAATCAAAAAGAAACTGGTAGTGAACAATTATCTTAAAGGTAATTTATTTAATATTTTCGTCAAGTTTCTCTCTATCTTTTATTTTATACCTTATTTTTAAATATTCTTTTTCATAAATTTTCATAAGTAGTCATCACTTTTCAAAAGTTCAAACTTTTCTGTAGGAAGATTAAACTATCGCTCTTGAACGGATATTATCCTGTACGGATATTAACAACTGTTGCTGACGATGACAAAAATATTAAACCATCATTCTGATATCAGAATTTTTTTTCTCGTAGATGGATGTAAAGAATGTGAACATGTGTGAAAAAAAATTAAATTCTGAATTGAATATCAATTAATTTCATTAATTGAAAATCCGATTTCCTTTCTTCTAAATGAATAAAATAAAGAGATCAATCTCAAGGTTGAATGTTTTTTTAAATTGTAAAATCGTTATTTATTGCTAATTTTCATTCGATTATAGTAAATTAATCTCCTTCGGCAACTAGTTCAAAATCCACGATTAAAAACACATTTAAAAGATCCGCGACGTAACATTTTTTAAGTAACAACTGTAAATTTTTAAATCAATCAAGCATATCCAGGAATCTCTCAGGCAATTTAATGCCAATTGTATATTTAAATATCACAAATATATAAAACAGGCAGATTATTATAAATTAAATTAATTGCTTCTGTGAATTATATCACGTTTATCATTTTAAATAACCTGCAATATAGTATGCAATAACCTACAAAATAATATGCAATCTCGTGAAATTTGTCATAATAAGAACAAATTTCATAAAATTGGATACGTATAGTCGGGGCCTAAAAAGTTGCAACATTTTTTTTCGATGGGTTTCGGAATGCAGCTTGCTCAACGAGCAATTGGTTCTTATTCATGGATCGACAAATAAGAACCGCTCGGTGAGTAGGCTGCATTCCAAAACCCATTTTAAAGAAGTGTTGGAACCTTTTAGATCCTGACTGTACAATTATTTGATATTGCATCGATTATAGAGTTTCAATAATTGTAAATCTCATTCGATTCATATTCTCAATGCAAGTATTTAATATATAATACAATCTACATTTATTTCATATTAATATTTAATCCATCTGTAACAGTCCATTTTCATCGAAAGTTCTAATATATTTAAGAATCGCAAGACCTTATTGAAGACGTTCGCGATTATAAATACACCGTGTTCATAAAAGGAAAATAATAAGATACGCGCGTCACCTAGAATTTTTTTCATAATTATCTACCAATTGATCTCTTCATAATTACGATTCAATGTCTGACTGATTAAGTGCATAACAAGTGGATAACAAAAGTAGAACAACTCAATGTGTATAAAAAATATTGCTTTCTTTTACATGCAAGTAATAAAGTTAGTCTACAATCATACGTGGATTACTTATAGCACATGGTCGTGAATGTATCTACCTTTGCAAATTTTTTTACGATTTTCAAAGTGTTATATTATTATGTAATGTACATATAGTATGGCAACGATAATAACAACATACAAGAGAATACCAGTCGTAAAAAAACTATTTTAATATTATATTTTCTGTAAAAAGAATTAGAACGACTACAATAGATTTCTACACACAAAAACTAGTTAAGTAAACAAAAATGGAACACCATCTTTTATCGACAAGCAATTCTTATGTTCAATTTTTTGTTTAATTATCGATAAATAGCACATTATTCATAGGCTTTTCAACAATTACAATAAAACATAAGTATAACTAAACGCTGTTTAAAAATAAAAGTATAGAAACGTAAAAACTACAAAATAAAATTTATCTATTTTAATCACGTTTGTGTTATTATTTCATTCTAATTAATACTACAAAAGAAGAACTTGTGAGTTTTATAAAATGTTAATAAGAACAAAATAAATATGTTAATAAGAATTCTATATACCAGCGGAAACAAATTTTAAAAAATAATTGCAAAAAAGATTACAAAAATATCAAAAATAGCTATCTAGGATAGGCGAAGCACAATAGAGAGAATAGAGCAGATAGTGGTAAAATACATTAAAATCGTAGCCATTAATAACAAAATGCTGGAATATGTTACACAGATTGTATAATAATGGCGTGATAGTCTTAGAACACCTGTTCCAAGAAAAAATAAATTTGTACCTATACAAATATCTGTAAATATATGTTGTATATTGCGATGCACCTGCGTGCGGCATTTCCTTTCTCCTTTTTTTCCTCTCATGTGAATTGTATGTGTGTGTGTGCGCGCGCGTGTGAAAAGTTTTAGTAATAATATTACTAATGCGGGGTTTACAATAGAAGTCGTAGCGGTCGTAGAGTCTTAAGTCATAGAAAATTGACCAATCACAGTTGATTATTCTTCTCATATTCGACTGTGATTGATCAATTTTCTACGATTTAAGACCTTACGACTGCTACGACTTCTATTGTAGACCCCGCATTAAACTTAGTAAAAATAACTAACATTCTCTCTCCAACGACAGGATAATTATAATATATGGAACGACAAATTCAGCACCATATTTCTGATTGCAGTAGTACATATATACGATGGTCATGTCTTTAGCTTGGAAGCTTTTCTTTATAATATTGGGATATCTCATTAATAATATGCGTCCAGACATCACAGACAAGGAGAACCGTCTACAAACGTTATCAATGGAAAAACTGTTGGCTCAGTACGATTACGTGATAATTGGCGGAGGATCAGCAGGAGCTGTGTTAGCAAGCCGATTGTCAGAGGACGAAAATTGCACCATTCTTCTGCTCGAAGCTGGCGTCGATGAAATTCCTTTATCCGACATACCATCCTCATATCATATATTACAGCGTACGTATCTGGATTGGGATTTCAAAACGGAATCGTCGTCCAATTATTGCTTGGCGATGCATAATCATCAATGTAGGTGGCCACGTGGTAAGGTAATTTAAATGCCTTAATTATTTTATGGACAAAAATGTGCATATATAGAAAACGACTATATGATTAAGAATCCATTTATTCTACATTTGGGAAGACGTCGAACCGTAACTTTTGGATGTCAGAAGGTAGTCGAATTGATAATTTAACAAAGAAATAACTTTTTACAATGGCTTATTATTGATGGTATAACCAACAAAAAAGTCACTTTACGTGAAGAAGAATCAAAAGAATACAACTATAGAATAAAATTTGATCATACAATACTTTGCGCGCTCCGCGCAAAACCGTTTTTAAAATGATTAAATTAATAATTTAATTTGTTATTTAATGAAGAATTGGAATTCGAACATCTAGTTGACTCTAATTGGCATACTTTTATGATTCATATATTCTTCAGAATCTTTTATTATTTTTTTAAAAATAATATATTTACGGTTTTTCAAATTTAAACAATTTTGATATTATATTGGACAACCATTAGGATTGTATTGAAAGTGAACCATTATAATTTTCCTTTTCTGATTCAACGATCGTTTTTCAGGATTATAAAATTTGAAATGCCAATTTCATTTAAGTCATTGTACAAACAAGTTTATGAGTGTCAGTCAAAACGCATTAACTATCGAAAGAAAAGGATTCAAAAATTTTGAATATTCAATAGTTTTTGAGATACAATAAAAAAACTAAAAACCATTTTACTTATAAAGAGATTTCCTCCTTAAAATCATTTTTTTCGTGTAATACTAATTAATATCAATAAATAAAAAAAAGTACAAAGGTTCACTTTCAATCCTAATAATTATCCTGTATCATGCATTATTGAAATTTGTCTTCATTTTAATTAAAAAATATCAGGGATTTTTTTTTATATGAGTCACATTCTCAAGGTGTTAGGTGGTAGCAGTGTATTGAATGGGATGATTTACATTCGCGGTAACAAAAGGGACTATGATTCTTGGGCGGCTCTTGGTAATGTGGGATGGGATTACGAGAGCGTTCTGCCGTATTTCAAGAAGTCAGAAGATGCTAGAGTCGAGGAACTCGCCGACTCGCCTTATCATAAAAAAAATGGATACTTGACGGTGGAATATTTCAAGTACAATCCACCAATAGTCGATTATATTGTTCACTCCGGCGAAGAGTTAGGATACAAAGTGCACGATGTAAATGGTGCAAATCAAACTGGTTTTACGTATTCTTTTGGTACTTTGAGGGATGGATTAAGATGCAGCACTGCTAAAGCTTATCTCCGACCCATTTCAAAGAGAAAGAATCTACACGTCAGCTTGGAATCGTTCGTGGAAAAAATACTAGTGAAAAAAGGTTCAGAAAATCTAATTGTTCTTCTTTAAATATTCTCTTTTGATAAGTTACCAATGTCTCAAATAGATTAATGTAATATATACCGCGTAATATATACCGCATTCACGGAGAGAACGACCACACATTTTATGATTAAGATCGGAGGATTCGAGCGTGTTATTTAGTTCCGCATACATTATTGTCATATTCTTGGGCAGCCTAAGGATATAATACTTAATGCATGCGGAACTAAGTAACGCACTGGAGTCCTCCAATCTGATCATAAAATGTGTGGATAGTGATCGTTCTCTCTGTGGACACGGTATTCATACATTTTTTATCATTGTATACGTAATATACTAATGGAAATATATGTATTGATTTCCGGTCAGATCATTAGACATCACTTATGAGGTGATTATATAGTCGCGACAAATCAAGTTGCGGTTTTGATGATGTCGCAGGTCATCATTTACATAAAGAGATAAACATAAAAGAAATAACTTGTTTGTAGATGATAAGTCGAAGGTGGCGCATGGGGTGCTATTCCGCAAGGGTAAAAGACGTTTCGTAGTTGGCGCGAAACGCGAAGTGATTCTCTCTGCAGGTGCGATACAGTCGCCGAAATTATTGATGCTATCGGGAATTGGGATGAAGCATCATCTCGAGAAAATGAACATATCTGTGGTGTATCATGCACCCGGTGTAGGACAAAATCTTCAAGATCATGTGGGGATGGGCGGGATAATCTATATCATCGATCCTCCGCACAACATACCAGAACGGAACAAATTCAGTATGAAACGATCTGAAGTTAGAAAATTGAGAAACATCCGAAAAATGTTGTTGAACAATTCTAGTCCTCTCTACACGACAGCATACAGTGCTGGAATGGCGTTTTTCAATACAAAGTAAGCGATATATATCGTGCATGTGGGAAGATCTCGTTTGCCTACATCTCATTTACTTACAGATCGACAAAGGACCCCGCACTATCCTTATCGGAAATGGGGTTCCGCGGATTTGGCTATAACTTTGCCAATTTGTTATTTAAGCCATACTGATGAAAAGTTATCAAGGTCACAACTTAATCCTATGAGCCATTTTCAATGTAGAGTCGCTCGAATGTCTGTAATAGTATGTATCTGTAATAGTATGATGTTCTATATGCATATCATTCTTCTACTCTTAGCGTTTCTCAGGATTAACGTCGGAGACCTATCTGGAATCTGAACCTTTTTAGTAAGTGGATATATACAGGGTGTCTAAAAATTAATGGTTAAACACTCGTCAACGGTTCTCATCTCATATCAGTACTATATGATAGTCACGTGGGTAGTCATGTGAGAGCCGAACATATTCGAGTCACGACAAAACTAGTCGAAGTCAGTAGACACCCTCTTGCCGCGATTATTACCTATCCCTCGTAGAAAGGCTCCATCTATATGTCGTTGATTTGAACAAGTCCACGACGTTAATCCTGAAAAACGCTAAGAATAGAAAAATGACATCCCAGGTAACAAGGTGACGTAAAGTGACATCTTAATGACATGTTATTAATGCTAAAGATGTTATTAAGACGTCATTTGACATCATCTTGCTACCTAGGATGCATATAGAAAATCATACTATTACAGACATTCGAGCGACTCTACATTGAAAATGGCTCATAGGATTAAGTTGTGACCTTGATAACTTTTCATCAGTATGGCTTAAATAACAAATTGGCAAAGTTATAGCCAAATCCGCGGAACCCCATTTCCGATAAGGATAGTGCGGGGTCCTTTATTTAACTTATCAATCTTTAATTATAGCGGAATAAGGTTTAAATTGAATTACAAACTATATTTAAAAAATACAATTCCTTTTATGACAATAATTAATTTGTTCAAAATAATCTTTATGCTGCAGATATGCAGACAGGATCGATTATCCGGACGTACAGCTGATGTTCTCGGCTTTCTCAGATTATGGAATTCTCGCAGCAAATTTATATGGGGTTGAGTCAAGCACCGTCACTGGATTGTATGAAAATATCACAGAAGATACTCAAGCTTTCGGAATTTTTCCGATTCTTTTAAGACCACGCAGCAGAGGCTTCGTCGAGCTAAAATCAGCTGATCCGGATGAAGCTCCCGCTATTGTTCCAAATTATTTCGAGGACTCACGTGATCTCCAAGTTCTAGTACGTAATTATCATCTTTTTAGTTGCAAAACGGCACAATAGCTGCTTTCAATTAGTGACTAATTAGTTCTTGGCAATAGTGATAAGACCAATTGGTGTACGAGTGAAATATTTAATTTATAAACATTTGCTTTAGTTTGCTCACGATAAACGCGAATCGATAAGACAGAGTTTCGTGCGAATTACAAATGAAAAACAGGATAATAAATTGTAATTAAAGATAATCCCAATTATAAACAGAATTTCTAAAAAAATAAATCTCATTAAGTCAATATTGAGCCGTGTAGTACTGACTTTTTCGAGAATTAAAATAATTATCAATATTAAAAATAAATAGTTGAGAAGGTTTTGGTAAAAATGTGTTGTAGGGACTTGAAAGATGATTATACTAATTTCATAGGTAGAAAGCGTGAGATTTATGGAAAGGATGAGACGTACTCGTCTTATGCAGAAGTTAAATGCTCGACCAAATCCAAATCTGATACCAGGATGTTCGCAGTTTGATAGCTCGTCAGACAAATATTGGGCTTGCTACGCACGTCATTTCACATCGACAGTATATCATCCGGTTGGTACCTGTAAGATGGGCCTCGCCAGCGATTTCTACGCCGTCGTTGATGCTAGATTAAGAGTTCATGGGATCGCAAAGCTACGAGTGATCGACGCTTCGATCATGCCGCATATAGTTTCAGGGAATATTAACGCACCAACGATTATGATTGCAGAGAAAGGTGCTGATATGATAAAGGAAGATTGGCAATCCTGATTCGACACATGCTAAAGATTGCGTTTCGCAAACGATCGATGCAGGCTATCGCCATCTTTTATGTTACTGTATGTATGTATAATCGGTACATTTGTAATAATCGACCATAAAAAAATTATTTTTAATTGTGCTTCTCAATTTTGATAACAACTCTAATAGAATTATACAATCATCATGATTGGCATTTGTTTATAAACATAAGAAAACGTTTATAAATATAGAAATTATTATTTGCAAAGTGTTTACTTTCGTTACAGAACACTAATTATAATTTATAGTATAAGAAGTATAAATTATAAAATAAATTTCCTTGTATCCACTGTACAAGATCTTCAGTAGATTATATGCCCACATATCGCGCTATTCGTACATACGCGCGCGTACTCTTAATTATATTTCTATTGAGTTTAACTCTTAACTGTGCGCGCCGTGGCACTGAGTGCCGCAAAATTTGTTTTTCTGAAAAATCATGGATAAAATGCAGGTCTTTTTTTTATTACCGACCTTCGATATTTCTCATTTAACGTTAAATTCTAATATTATATTTTATTATAAATATATTTTACTTGCTTTTATGATGATTGTCCAATTATTTATCCAATTATTATAACTCTTAAATAATAAATTTGTGATGCGGCACTCAGTGTCGCGTGCGCCCGCTAACGCCGAGAGGCGCGCCCGGTTATGGGTTACTTAAGTTAACTTACTTATCAAGATATTTAAGAGGTCCGCGACTTTTTGTATATAAAACATATAAAATATTACATTACAATACACAGAAGTTTGCTCATGCGAGCATGATAAATGCACATCATGTTAAAATATGTACAGCAAATATTTAATTTTTGATAATTGAATTGATAATGACGAAAAATATGATAATCTACGATGAATATTGATGTAATTACACAATTTAAAAAATAAAAGATACATCGTGTCAATATGATGACGTAAATAGAAGAATAAAAATGACTTTTATCTCAATTCTAAAAATAATTATAAAATTATCATCGTATTTAGATGTATTATAAAAGAAAAGAATATGTATTTAAATATTGGAATATATAATATTTGAGAAATTTAAATGTCACTTAAATGTCATTTAAATGTAACGAAATATTCTTAAAGCTTTTTGCATCTATCATTTATGATAATTTCTTATATTCTTTGTATTCTCGAAAAATATTATTGGATAATGGGACAAGACAAATTTAAGCGATCTAAATTTACTTTGATGTTTGGATATGCCCTTCCGGATATGTATCTTCAAAATATCCTAAGTTATTCTCCGATAATTTTGAATTAACGATGGCCCTTAATAATGACATATCGTTGCACGTTGGCTATAGCCATTAAAATGTGAATACGTATTATTTCAAATTCGTATGTGCGTATTTACTTTCCAATTATAATATGTAATGACGTGTGATCCATGTATACAAGTGCATGATACGTGTTGTTGAATCGAGACTTTTTCTTTCACCGCACATATATGTGGTCTTTTGGTGCTTCTTCATATATCTGAAATATAAATAGCGACAGAGGGTTCATTTTCTATCTATAAACCAGTATAAATTCTTCGTCTACGGTATCTGCGCAGGATAATAATAAGAAGGTAGTGGAGCCCCGTAATATCATCCAAAAGTATCGTCACGTTCGAGGTAAAATTTTTTATTCAAATAAAAAGAACAAAATGCGAGATATAAAATACACTAGCACTATTTACATTATATCTTGTTACAAATTACTCATAAACGCGTTATTATATGCTTCATTAAATGAAATTATTGCATATTATAGCAGAGTGCTTAAGATTCGCGAATCAAAATAATACAGCAAAAAAGTTCGTAAAAATGAGTTATAAAGTATACCATTTATCATTTCAAATAGTAATTTTTGTGATAAAAACGATTAAAACTTTCTTATTATAAAAATTACGGTTAAATGACGTATCTATTTATAAGTCATGTGTCGATCGTAATCGTATTCTATATAACTGGCCAATTTTTAATCTTCATGTCTCAAAAACTACTGCTCGGAAGTTCAAGCTAAAAACGACAAATACTCTCAATTTATTTTTTCTGAACTTTTTTGTTGTATTTTGATTAGTAATATTTTGATTCGTGAATTTTGAGACACTTTATATGACACTAAAACACAGAATGTTGATGCAATTTTTAAAATGAGAAAGTTTTTAGCATTCGTTTACCAAACTACATCATGATTGCTTACTGCAATAAATCTTCAACGAGAGAGAGAGAGAACAAGCGATTTATTTCTTTATTAGTCCAATGAAATTTCATTTATATTTTCTGAATTTAGCATAAATCTGACCGAGTTATGTAAATACAATGAACGTAATTTCAAGATTCAGACTCATCTTTTGTAGTAATTTTTAACTACTTTAATGTACCGCGTATACTCTCTCTCTCTCTCTCTCTCTCTCTCTCTCTCTCTCTCTCTCTCTCTCTCATTTTTCTCTCGATAAAAGAAATTCTTTAATGATTCGCCGGATGAACAAGATGTTTAATTCGTTCCTGGCTTCCTCAAAGCTTGATCACTCGGTCGTAAATCCTCAAAGAGTAAATCCTAAATGCATTAATCCACGCGGTGTGAATCCTGCTTGAAGCTGAGACGAAGACTCGGACGATGACGTCACACCACGTGTGTTTTCTTCGTCAACGAATGTCAGACCCCACGCAATGTGTTTCTCGATTAGTGCATAGTGTGGTCGTGGTTATGCTGTCCTTTTTGGCTGTGCCAAACGGTAGGTGTTGAGATCATGATCCTATTGCGAATTCGAGACGCTCCGAATCAATTGTGTAAAATGATCTGTAGTCCTGGTGATAAGATAAATCGATTGGTGCTTACGTATTCTGTATCGTTGTACAAACGTCGTCGAAATGTCGATTACCACGAAATGTTAAGGCACATTTTTATCCAGATCTCAGGTAATATTTGGAAAAAGATCAAAAGTCAAAGAGAGTTATATTTCAAAATACCTCTTACATTAAGATATATCTTTTAGAGATATATATAACGTAGAGAGATTCGCGAAAGTTTTGAAACTTTCTTAAAAGAACCTGCTTTGTAGCTCTTTATGCAATAATTTGTTGAAACAAATATCTTTGGCCTAAATATAGTGAAACCGATAACTATGCGATCATCGTAATCACGTAAACAATTCGTTTCTATAGTAGTGAATAAAAAAAACTTGAATAAAAGAAAATTTTAATAAAAATTTCAATAAACTTTCTCGAGTTCTTTCATGTCTAGTAAAATTAAAATTGTGATTTAGAATGGACAGTTGTCTTTGCCTTATCTCTGTCATATGTGTACAATGTCTACACCTGTTAATGTATAATAGTTCAACGAAATTTCACTTGCTCTGCGTTTGCAGATGGAGAAATTCTACGGGTATTTCGCATATATGATGTATTCGTCATGTCGTATTGGATATATTGCGCATACTCTTCGATGATAAAAATTGTGGCAAAAATTTGTCATAAACAAGCAATAACGCACTTTTACATGGAACTAAACGCACACGGAAAAAATAGATTCGCTCATTCAACAAAAATATAGCTTGTTGCACGAGTTCAACGTCTGTAACTAATTGTAAAATTTTCAATAAAAAAATTATGTCTGTAAGCAGTTATCAGTATGCTTATGTCATAGAATAAACTCATCTTCATAATTTAATACTGTAACAAATTAGTTTAATTGAAATAACTAATTTACGCAGTGCACCTACGCAACTCGTCATGTTTTCTATTGCATTGTTGAAAGGTAGCCGGAAGCATATGTGGTTCTTGATCGACTTTGCTCATGCATTTATTCATTTACCATTATATCTCATATTTATAATTATATAATAATCTACTACTGGCTAACTGGATTCTTGAAGAGAAGAAAAAGAAATACGTGGCTATTGTATATAAAGTGGTCATCTATTTCGACATCACTTCCTTTCATTATAATAGGCCATCTTGGATCGGTATATAGGCACTTGCATTTGCATCAATAAACCTTCTTCGCGAAAATTAAAGTTCACTCAATTTCAATGTGCCCTGTGTTTCATATGTCCAAAGCCTATATGACTTGAAATACTACAATTAAATTAAGTTAGGTTCTAATCTTGCGACCCGCGACCCGCATTCTGCGACCCGCATTCTGCGTGTTATGAAAATCCGGCTTAATACGTTTGAAATAATAATACGTTAGTAATAATAATTTAAAAATTACATTCTTTTTAATTTTAATAAAAATGAAAATATGTATTCATCGAAATTTGTTGTCTTAATTTACTTGAATTGATAAAACTAATTCTTTGCTACAATGAAGATTGCTAATGTAAGTTTCTTCATCATAGTAGGAAAAATATACACTATCTTAGCTAGCATATTTTGTTACAAATTTCAATCTTTATAATAAATTCATTTTTGCAGAAAGTTATCTTTGCCGTATTAACAAATTTGCTATGATATTACTACAAATATTGGTTACAATCGCTAATTTAATTCAGCTGCATAACTTTGCTACTTTAATATAGAAAACTGGCAATCCCTATATTATGGCTGTAGATTTGCTAAATTAGCGAAGATTTTAATTGTTTTAGCAAATCTTTTTTTCCGTGCAGTATTATGTATAATCTTTTAGTAAATAAGTAATATTAAAAAGCTAATTATATTGTATATGTTTGATTTAACAATTTCAATATAACAATTACATGGAAAGAATTTTCTCTTAGAATTTATCCTGAAAATCGTAACAATCGTGGAACAAAATGATAATTCAAAGAATTTTATGTGATTTTCTCTGATATATTTCCACAATAAAGTATAAAAAAAGTTTAATTTATTTTACTAAAAGACATAGTAAAATTTCACAATAATTTTAAAATATGTTTACAATATTTATAATATTTTCAACCTGACTTAGTCGTTTGTAAAAATTTTATCATGCGGGATTGTAATTGCTTCATTATATCCGATTATCTTTACTGATTAACAACATTAAAATCGCTCACTATGATGAATAATACGTGTTACTGCCGATAAATCAATGCAACGGAATTTACTTTCTTATATTTAAAAAACAACACAGAATAGAATAAAAGGCACAGCATTACGAGATCGTTCACCGAGCCTAACCTTAAGTTCGAAGACGAAAGTAATTAAAAAATGTATTTTAACAGTACAGTATTTTAGTTGAATGTCAAAATTAATTAAGGAATCCTGATAATTCCTGAAAGTTATATATGCTAAAATGTAATAAAATAATGGCAATTGATCTGTATCAAAATTTAATGTGTAAATTTCACGAAACATTTTGTAAATATTTTGCATTAAAACAATTTACAATGTGCATGTTAATTTTTATTATGTAGTTTATAATGTAATTTTATTACGTAGTTTAGTAATATGTTTTTACGATAATATTGAATAGGTTACCTAATTATTCCACGTTTATCACTAAACAATGGTAAAATTGGTAACGAATTTTGTGATAGACTATAATGAAAAATTCTCTTCGTGTAGGCTAACAGGAGATGGTAAGTAATGCATGAATTTGTTTGAAATTATATATATTTCGTAGAGTAATAGAGTTACATATATAAATAAGAATATTTTAAGTTCTTATGTAATTCTACAAGTTAGAATATTTCGGCTCATATATTTGAATCATCTTCAGCAAAATCGTATAAAATCGCAAAGTTTTTATGTTTCTCAGATTGTATGTATTACACGAGTAAGTATAATTTCAAAGATAGATGATGTCTAGAATATATTGACCATGACGGTTTCAAGACACACGGGTGTCTTATTGTTAGAGTCTCGACATAGAATAATTTCAGAGATCACAACATAAGTAATATTTACAAATAAAATTGTATTGCAATCAAAATAACAGTCAATAGATAAAAAAATGCAATAAATTATTTAATGAATATAAAGTTAAAAAACAGTCAAATGTAGAACTATGTAATAAATTAAGGACATTATGAAAAGTTCCAAACAGATCGAAATCAAGATGTTCAAATGTCTTTTAGATAGGTCCTATTAGCTGAGTTGTCATATCATATTTATTCGTTTCGGAAGACATTATCTATTTGTCATATTTAATGATTATAAAAATTTCCTTTTCACAATAATGAGAATTACATTTTAAAACGACGGTCGATGTCCATGTAAAGACAACTAATTACTATCTATAATAATTATCATATAATTATATAGTTATAGATTCAATATTTTGTATTATATCAGACAAAATTGAAAACAATGCCAGGGTTACCGATATAAACGCGGGATAATTAAGTTTATTGCAAAATACGCGCTTATTATATTGTCGACGTATGTCATTGTTTTCAATGGTATTCTCGTAAATCTTATAATCGACGTTTCGTTCCTCTCGTCCAAGTGTTTAACTGACATGTGTCGAAACTCCGTTGCAATCATTTTCAAACGATTATATATTCTTTCATTAATGAACACGATATAAAATCTGTATTTTAGTAACGTGGTACACGATAATGATCGAACTAATGATTGACTCGTGTCCGACTTGTCTTCTAAAAGTAATATAGTAGCATAAAATGCGTTAACGTAAAAAAAGAGATATACACGCGAGACGTAGGTAACCACATATGCACGTGCGTGTAGATGACATAACAATTATTAAATAGTAAAATTTATGTAAATTCAAATATATATATATGTATGTAACATACAAACGCTATAATTAATTATATTATCATTTATCTCCTTGTAATTTACTCAATTCACAGATAATATTAGTCTTTAAATTGCAGACATGCGGTGGTACTTCCTCTGGTTAATCTTGGTGCATCATGTTATAGCTACTCCAGTCAAAGCACATCAGGTAAGCAAGAGATAGTTATAGGTATTCTTTTACAATATCGAAAATGTTTTAACTTATGGTAATAATATATTAAGTTCAACAAAAAGCTTCGTTTCTTTTTTTTGTAATGAGATATCTATAATTCACCGTTTTAAACAATCGAAAAATCTGATTAAATCTACTGATATACTTTAGCGCTTTTAATTTTGTTGCATCATATTCCATGTAACTACCAAAAGCAATTGTAAACCACAGACTACAGCGCAAAAGAGAAAAGTAGATGTAAAATAGAAATAATAGAATTGCTAAATTCTCATACAGATTTGAAATGCTCATATTATTATATTAATATGAATAATGTTTAAATAAACATTTTTGAAATGAGAAAAAAGTGAAAAGTGAGAGAAAAGTGACGTATCACTCGAATATTTTCGTGGTGTATATGCGTCGAGTATCTTTTTCCGCAACTCGAGGAAATTGTGATATCGAATAAGAAAAACACTATCATGAATCTAGCAGCTGCGAGTAAGAAATTTTACAATAAACTTTGCGATGATTCAAACAGCGTAATTATCTACAGAAATGCGAACAGTAACATTTTGATTAAGATTAATATAAAAATGTAAAGTTTGTAATACAAATATATTACAAATCTGCGTGAAAACATCTTCCTTATACGTTGAGTGTAGGCATTAACGGATACTAAATAACTGATTATATTAATTCCTCAAAGAAATTCCCTTTATCACGAGTTTTACTCGTGATAATTTTAATGTATAGAGCTTTGATACATATGTACTTCGTATTAGAAGAAAGCGTGCACAGTATTCGAAATGGTAATACTCTAGATCAGGGGACCCCCTCCAATGACCTTGACCGTGACATATGTCAAGGTCATGACCCTGAGTGACCTGCAACAAGTTTTAGCCTCAATGAGACATTATTTTTTTTAAACTTCTTTTGTTAATAACTTTTTAACGAATAACAAGCGACGGCTAAAACTTGTTGGAGGTCACTCAGAGTCATGACTTTGATAACATATGTCAAGATTAAGGTCATTGGGGGGGGTCCCCTGATCTGGAGTATTATCACGAAATCTATTATTTATACCCGTTTAAAGCAAATGTTATTATCTTAAGCCGATTCAAGCAAGCAGCGACTATGCGACCAATGAATGTTGCTCGTGCCAGTTCGAGGATACGCCATACATGAGCAGTGTCTGTGGTGTTAACTCTTTTATGACTTTGGTTCAACATGTAATGTCCTCTAGATGTGACATTGCTGACCCTTGTCGACGATTGGGCAGAGATGAAGCACCAAGCGAAAATGAATGGTAAGAGATTCACAAAATTTATATATACAGCGCTAGAGTACTTCTTCTATACTCGTATGTATTTTATGCTATTCTATATTATGGAAGATCAACTATGTCTTCAGGTTCGACTTTATAATTGTCGGCGCAGGTGTGGCCGGACCAATAATCGCGAGAAGATTGAGCGACATTTCATGGCGAAAAGTTTTGCTCATCGAAGCTGGCCCTGAAGAACCTACTACAACAGCTATACCAGTTTTTGCGTTCAGTGCCATAAATACGTCTCTCGATTGGAACTTTAAAACGGAACCAACATTATCGCATCCTACTGCCTGTTTGGGTATTAAATATCTTGTATTGTATAACAATTGTTCCGCCGTAACATTATTTACTCACAAAAATGTATCTATCTTAATTTTTAGATACTTTAGCCAAATTGTTTCCGTTAAATTGTCGTTAAATAGCCTATAATAATGAAACAAACAATTCAATGTGGCAATTTTTCCAATTTTTCAAAAGTCTCAGATCAAAATCGGAATTATTAAATAAACAGAATTTAAATCTTAATATACAATCTTAGATGAAAATTTCTGCTACAAAAACAAAACCTTAATAAATTAATGTCATGATTATGCTTTTTAGCAATGGGTGGCGTCTGCACTTGGCCGAGAGGCAAAATGATAGCTGGAACCGGCGCTTTGCACGGTATGATGTACGTGCGAGGACATCCTGAAATCTACAATCAGTGGGCAAGAGAGGGTAACTTGGGTTGGTCCTATGACGAGATCAGTCATTATTTTGAACGGGTGGAGAATCTGATCGATCCAACAATCGTGTCGGACAAACCTAGAAGTTTGAAGCAAAGCGGCGCGATAAATATTGAATACTATCCACACAAGCCGGACTTTGTAAACGTACTGTTGACAGCCGCCGGCGAACTGGGTTACAGAACCTCCCAATTGAAAGAATATAATCAAACTGGCTTCATGATCGCGCCGATGACAGTTAAGAACGGTATGCGTCTCACAACTTCGAGAGCATATTTAAGACCTGTTCATGATCGCAAGAATCTGCGAGTGCTAACAAACGCGCAAGTTACCAAGATCTTGATTAGTCCGTGGGAACAGAAGGCTTACGGCGTGGAACTGGTGGATAAGAATGGCAATAAGAAGGTGGTGAAATGCGATAAGGAGGTAATCTTAACAGCCGGTACTATCGGCTCACCGCACATTCTTATGAATTCTGGCATAGGACCCAAAAAAGATCTCGCCAAGTTCGGTATTAAAGTATACAAAGACCTGCCGGTTGGTAAGAATCTGCACAATCACGTGTCCGTGGAGGTGCCGATGAGCATCAAAGACATTCCATACGAGATCGTGACCATGGACGCCGTAAATCAATATTTGAAGAATAAGACGGGACCATTGGCCAGCACCGGTATCACTCAAGTTACCGCTTTCCTCGAAAGCAGTTATGCAATCAACGGCGTGCCGGATATCCAAGTCTTCTTCGACGGTTTCACTTCCACTTGTCCAAAGACTGGTTTAATCAATGAGTGCACCAACGGTAAGTTCCAGTCTGATTGCCCGGACAGAAGAAAGATCATAGCGAGACCTACGGTGGTTTGTGCGGAGAGTCGAGGCGACTTAAAACTCCGCTCAAATAATCCTTTGGATCCACCGTTGATATATCCAAATTACTTCACAAACGAGAAGGATTTGATGATTCTACTCGAAGGTATCAAAAAGGTTAGCAAACTTGTTGACACCCATACTATGAAGAAATGGGATCTTCGTTTGGAACAAGTGAGAAGTCCATTGTGTAGCGAGTAAGTAATAATTCGTATAGGAAAGTTTTCATACAATTATGATATACTCGTAGTTTTAATCCTGATTCTCTAATAAGTTTACAGTAGACTTTTTTTTAATAAAAATATAGAAATATTAATAATTTTTGAGATGCCAACAATTAAAAACGAATTATAATATTTTCATGTAATATTCCAAAAGTTTAAAAAAAAACCATTTTTCGTGAATTTCTATTAGTTTTCTTTACTAAGTTTTTCTTTATTAGCTATCATTTCGGCACGGACGCTTTCTGGATGTGTCAAATAAGAACAGAAACTGGACCGGAAAATCATCAATCTGGAACATGCAAGTTGGGACCAAGTACTGATCCAAGTGCAGTAATAGATTCGCAACTTCGAATACATGGTATATCGAATATCCGCGTTGCCGATGCTTCCATTTTTCCCAATGTACCAAACTCAAATCCCATTGCCGGAATCATGATGGTGGCTGAAAAGGCAGCCGATATGATTAAAAATACTTGGTCATAAAAATTTTATTTTAAATGTATACGTTTTGATATATTAGATGTATAATAATAAAAGTGGCGTGTATATGTGTGTATATACAGGGTGTTTCCAAATTAAATCGCAAAACTTCGGGAGCGTGTAGAGGAGTAAAAAACTAAGAAAAAAAGTCCTATAGACATATGCTCGTTTTTGCTCCGTTTCAGAGAAATCGAAAAAAAATGTTTACATTTCTTGCCATATCTAGCACCGACATATTTGATTACATTTTCCACTTTCTGTTATGAATTTGTCAGTCGCTCTTTGAAAGCCTTTAACAGTAGATGAATTTTGTCTTTTGCAATATGCCGCGTACGTATTCTAATAGTGAATATGCTGATATGGTTTTTGTATACGGTTTCTGCAACGGTAATGCTTTAAAGGCGGTGCGAGAATATGCACGACGATTTCCAAACAGAAGAGTGCCAAACCGAAGAGTGTTTATGTTGACATTTAATAGATTGCGAGAGACTGGAACATTTTCAATTCGACAAGAAAACAACCGATTTCAAGCAGCGTTACGAAGAGATTTGCAGGCAGGGAATCGTATTTTACAACATTTTGACAATCATCCTGAGACCAGCGTTCGGAATGCGTCGGCTGTATTGGGAGTGTCACCACAAACAATTTGGCGAACTGTAAAAGGAGATAATCGCTATCCCTACCACATTCAAAAAGTGCAAAATTTATTACCTCAAGATCATTGGAACAGATTGAACTTTTGTAACTGGTACCTTCAGACATGCCACAATGATATTTTATTTCCATCTAAAATAATGTGGTCAGATGAGGC